TGAAAAAGCACTTCAATTCAATTATTCTTTTCAGCACAATTGAATGGAGCTCATCTTAACATCTATTTCTCCACTCTTAGGTTTTCAATAAGCAAAAATTCCTTTTCTCAGCAGCCAAACAGGGCTGCTCATTTAAACTAATAAAGCTGCAAATGAGTTACACAAAACAAAGAAGAAGCACATAATCATAAACTAACAGCTTATTTTCAGCACAACCTATTTTTAGATCCAACTCTTTACAGCAACTTTGGATTAAAATTAATCAAGAACATAAGCTACCCAGCTCCTCAAAAACATATATACAGCAAAAGAAGCTATAATGGAGAAAAAACAGATCTTTAACAATCAATTCAAGGAAAAGCTAAAACTAAAGAATGAATGCTTCAATGCAATGAAGCTACAAAGATGAAAAACAGATCAAAAGCTAACTCCAAGCAAGGAACTAGAACTAAAAGCTGCAAAAAGATAAAGAAAGAGGGAACATACAGAGCCAATCTCCATTGATAAAGTGCTTGTCTTGAGCCCAAATTGTGTAGTTCACATTATTAGCCCAGCCCTGGTTAGTTCCCACAGTCCACCTGGTTGCAGCCACCTCAGGAACCATCACTACCATGGCCCATACCAGCACCAGAGCCACCCCCACCACCATTTTTGGAGCCACAACCATTCTCCCTTTATCTCTCACTCTTTGAGTTTATGCAAAGCTGAGTGTTTGAAGCTTTGGCTGGTGGGTTTTTATGGGGTTATCAAGAAAGCTCAGAGAACACACAAAGGTGGTGACTTTTTCTGCTGTTGTAAACTGTAAAGTAGTCTCTAGAACAGTACAAATAGTAACATGGGTTAGTTTTAGTTTGCTTCTTTTGATTGTTTACAAATCCTACGGTTAAGATCTCCATATATCTTTAATATTTATTACCATATATTTTATGTTTGTCTTTATGTTTACCTAGTTGTCTTATTGTATTGCAATTTTCTTCCGAAGGTTTTTATTGCTACCATGATCATATTGATGCATTCACGTCGTTTTATTAAATATCATTGTCATTATTCTTAAACGTGTGTTTAGGTGGAATAAAGCTCGCTCAATTTGGTGAGGTGGTATATCCCGTCAAGAGATCGCGTGATAAAAAATATATATTCGAGATAAATAATATAAGAATAAAATCACACCAATACATAAAATAGAGCTGAAATGATTCCAGTTTCTAAGACAATCTTCTCATGATGTTTAATAACTCTTACTCAAATACTTTGTGTATTTACATTATTTCATAACCTTAAATTGGTTCTCACTCCTATATTTATAAATAGTATGTGAGATATTTTTTTTCCTAATATGATTTATATTTCAATTCTTATTACGACTTCTAAATTTTATTCATATTTGCAATTATATTCTTCACCAAATAGTATTTCTAAAAACATACAATTTCACATAAGAACAAATAAGAAAACAAGTCACAATATCCCAATATATCCTGTCTCATGCCTCAACCGCCGTGGTACCCTCAACTTCGGCCCTGATATATGTGAGACAAGTGTATGTTTGAATGCGTGAAGGAAAAACGTGCAATGTTCCTTTTTTTATTTGTGACTAGGGGTGTCCGAATCAGTTTGTACACACTTCAACTAATCCTCGCGACCCTGAAGTTGCGATCAACCCCTCTTTGTTCCTATTTTTTTCAACAAAAAATACTTCAATCACTTTAATATCATATATATATACCCTAATACCGAAATATCTCATAGATATATACATTCACTTTATGATATCAAACTCAAGGTTCCTTTCATTTGTCGACTTAAGTATGAAGAAAAACATATTATATTATTTATATTATTAACAAATATAAATTATCACCATTTTCAACTTGCTCATTTTCTTATTCTCAATATGCAATTCAATAATAACAAGTCACCTCATATTCTAACCTATAATCTTAGGTTTAAATAATGTTTGATTTTGTGCTAACAAAATAATTTTTTTGTTAAGCTAAAGATGACTAGCACTAGGTACATTGTTGAAGCCATTAATATTTTAACTTTAGACAAAACTTTTCAATACTTGATGTTCCCTGTCTATCGATGAGTACTCTTTTTCACTTTTTTACATCCTTAATTGCAGTTGTTTTTGAATTATTTTTTCTTCTTTTAACTGTTCTTTTCTTATGTGTTTCACTTTAACGTCCCATGCCACCTCTTCAACTTTTTACAGTTATTATTGTTCTTACTTTAACTGTAACTGGAGAATCTTCACTGTCAATATCATGGGAAAAGAATAAGAAAAAAAAAACTGGTTATCTAGGAAGGTTTTTATGAAGAAATTCACTTCACAAATTTCATTTAAATTACTAAATATTTATAACAATGAAATAAAGAACAATCCAAGTCATCAAATGCCATAAATTTATCTTATGTGTTTCTGGATTATTCTCAGTTTTTGTCTTTTCAAATGGGTATTTTATTTGGCTGGTTGTGTGACAGAGACTGTGCACAAATAAAGTTCCAAGCAGCAAGAAACGGTTCAGAAACAAAACAAGTTTAAATCAAAATCATTTATAGCAAAGAAAGCACTTTGCAGTACCAAGATACAATTCATCTAACACAAATTGCTCCAATTACAACATTCATAAACCTAGGCAATAAGGTCATAAAATAATCTGTGTTCGACTCATTCAATTTCCCACTTCCGCTGAGTTAATTAAGTTGAGGCCTAAGGTTCCTCGATTTTGGTTACTGCCGGAAAAAAAGGTTTTTGACACTGCTACTTACACCTCGGATAACGAAGGAGGAAATGGTTTGCCTTTCTAATGTACTAACTATTAGGCTGAAAACAGAGTTCCCAAAGTGCTACTCGGAGACTAATCGAATTGCTTGATTAGAAACCAGAACCAAAATAAAGAAACTAGATCTGAAGGCAAAGGAGTGTAACAAGAAGAAAACAATAAAAGAGTAAAGAAAACCCTTTACAACTAAAATACTGAAAAGTGACACTTTTCGACTAGCCAGATGGAAAACAGAAGAAGTTCAGTAAGAAGGAGACGCACTCACAAAAAGGAATAAAGAAAAAAAAATTCAGATCTGGGTAATCCAGGGAATAAATGGCACAATAAATGGAGAATCAAAGATAAATTAAATAACACAAAATTAAATAATTTATAAAAACATTCCTTTCTCGTGATTTATTATAAATGTGCCAATAATATGAAATAAATGATTTTCCTTGTGTAGCTGTTTTATGCCTTTGATTTTAAATCATATAATATATATGTATTTAATATTTTTTAAATCCATACTCTTTTTTTTTATTATTATTGTAAATCTAATTTATTAAAGAAGAATAATGCCTTATAAATTCAATAACAGACTATATTATAATTGAGAATATAAAACAATTCATAAAAAATTAAAAATTAAAGTTATGGTATATGGAATGTTACATATTGGGCATTTTTCATGATTCAACCAAAATATATGGCCTTAAGTTTTATGTTTAATTAAATCATACTTTTATATAATAAAAAAGAAAAAAAATCAATAATATATTTTGGTTACAGTATTACATTTATATATATTAATCAACTCTCAAAATCCATTTCCTCCTTAATCTGAAAGCTTAAAATTTCAGCCACCACCACTCTCTCCAACCTCAGTGGCATCGCAGCTGCACCACCAAGTTCGCCGCCATCCAATTCCTCAACCAAAACCAGGCCTCGACAAGACAAAAAAGGGCGGCATGTATAGTTATCGATCTTAATTAACTCCAATATCTTTACATATATATAAATGAATCGTTGATAATAAATAATTGGTATTTCATATCTATAAAAATTAACACAAAATACATAATATATAATAAGTTAGCACTCTTCAATAAATGAATACTTTGTTATATAGGTGACTCATATAATTTACATGGTTAGTTAGTCATACGAATTGTTTATTTTTCTTTATTCATTTTAATTATTCCACCATATGCAAGAAATGATTTTTTCAATACAATGGTCAAATCTTGTGAAAGTGGTTGTGATCAAATTTAATTCCCATTAAAAAAAAAAAAAAATCCCTTAAATCGTAATAGAATTAAATTTATTTGTCTAAAAGTCTTGAACACCTTAACAATTTTTGAAAATTATTAAATACCGTTATCGATGCCCTTTTTTTTTTTTTTTTTGAACAATATTCGACAATTACTAAAACGTTCGAGACTTATCGATCTCTCGAGCATGAGCTCAAAACCGTTATTCTTTAAGGCAAGTCAAGCAAATTCAGACTCATATGTAGTCAACTGAGATTGAATAAAAGAAAGAGACAAAGGCTTCGTTTGTTACGATATTAGGAATACTATTATTAGTATTTCCAATAAAGTTAAAAAGTAAAATGTTATATTATTCTCAAAATATTATTCTATATTTTTAAACCTTTTTTAAACCCCCTATATTTGTTAATTTAACTAAACACCTCCAAATATTTTTTTTAGAAATTACAAAAACACTACTGTCACCCTCCGACAGTAGTGGCCAACTGTCCGTATTTATTATTTAATGGATTGGGAGTGTTTTTGTTAACTTTTAACATTTTATTATAGGAGTGTTTAGTAAATAAACAAACATAAGGGGTATTTTTGCTAATTTTCAAATCCTACACCGTAATACCGGTCCAATTTAACTTTTTTCAAAAGATTATTCTAAAAACTACCTAATAATGAACCAAACGGAGCCTAAAACGTTTGAGACTTATCGATCCCTTGGGGAGAGCTCAAAACCATTATTCTTAAGGCAAGTCAAGCAAATTCAGACTCATATGTAGTAAACTGGGATTGAATAAACGGAGACAAAAATTTTCCACAAGAATCTCTGCAATTTTACCTAAAACAAAAGAATGTCAATCTGTAGAGTATAAAATAAGCAATGATAGGGACACACTTCCTCAATCAATGGCTAGATTTATATTTTACAGCATTAGAACATGGTGCATGTGGCCTCAAAACAACTCAAAAAAACCATTTGCATAATTTATGCAGTGAAATCCTCCAATAAATAAATTCAAATCTTCAACTGTCGTTTGTCAACATTCACAGCAACAACCACCACACCATTTGCAATTCAAACATATCTAGTCATCTATAATGAAAAAATACATCACATAAAGGTTACCCCAACAAGAAAAATTTGTAAAATATGCTGAGGAAGATAACTCAATTCCTTCACAAATTGGTTAAGGAATGTCTAAGGAGAACCCGGTAATCTGATAAATATTTGCTAGCTTGGTATGTTTACCGAAAATGGATGAGGGCGTCCCACAAAGCACTGATGGCGAAAAGAGCTGGTAAAACAAGCTTGTTTTGGTAGATTGATGGAGAGCCACTTTTGACTGGGGAAGCTGCGGGAGGTGGAGGTGGGTTTTCAACATGGACAGCTAATTTCATACCGCCATAGCAGAAGCCCTTGCCACTGATGAAGTAGTAATTACGTGTCACATTAAGTGGAACCACGTCTCTCCCAGCTCCGGTAGTCCAGTTGTGAAGTGGATGATCAGAGTTGCACGATTCGTAGTCTGTCTTGTTCACCTCTAGCACATTCATCTGGTTCCTATCGTACACAAAAACTGGGGAAAACAAAAGTTACCAAGCAGCAAGAAACGGTTCAGAAACAAAACAAGTTTCAAATCAAAATCAATTATAGCAAAGAAAGCAACTTTGCAGTACCAAGATACAATTCATTCATAACACAAATTGTTCCAATTACAACATTCAACCTTAGGCCAATAAGGTCATAAAATAAGTCTGTGTTCGACTAAATTCAATTTCCACTATCCGCTGAGTTAATTAAGGTTGAGGCCTAAGGTTCCTCGATTTTGGTTACTGCCGGAAAAAAAGGTTTTTGACACTGCTTCTTACACCTCGGATAAACGAAGGAAGAAGATGGTTTGCCTTTCTAATGTACTAACATATTAGGCCTGAAAACAGAGTTCCCAAAGTTGCTACTCGGAGACTAATCGAATTGCTATGATTAGCTAAACCAGAACCAAAATAAAGAAACATAGATCTGAAAGGCAAAAGGAGTGTAACAAGAAGAAAACAAATAAAAAGAGTAAAGAAAAACCCTTTACAACTAAAATACTGAAAAGTGACACTTTTCGACTAGCCAGATGGGAAAACAGAAGAAAGTTCAGTAAAGAAAGGGAAAGCGCATCTACACAGAAAAGGAATAAAGAAAAAAAAAATTCAGATCTGGGTAATCCAGGAGAATAAATGGCACAAATAAATGGAGAAATCAACCTGAAAAAGCACTTCAATTCAATTATTCTTTTCAGCACAATTGAATGGAGCTCATCTTAACATCTATTTCTCCACTCTTAGGTTTTCAATAAGCAAAAATTCCTTTTCTCAGCAGCCAAACAGGGCTGCTCATTTAAACTAATAAAGCTGCAAATGAGTTACACAAAACAAAGAAGAAGCACATAATCATAAACTAACAGCTTATTTTCAGCACAACCTATTTTTAGATCCAACTCTTTACAGCAACTTTGGATTAAAATTAATCAAGAACATAAGCTACCCAGCTCCTCAAAAACATATATACAGCAAAAGAAGCTATAATGGAGAAAAAACAGATCTTTAACAATCAATTCAAGGAAAAGCTAAAACTAAAGAATGAATGCTTCAATGCAATGAAGCTACAAAGATGAAAAACAGATCAAAAGCTAACTCCAAGCAAGGAACTAGAACTAAAAGCTGCAAAAAGATAAAGAAAGAGGGAACATACAGAGCCAATCTCCATTGATAAAGTGCTTGTCTTGAGCCCAAATTGTGTAGTTCACATTATTAGCCCAGCCCTGGTTAGTTCCCACAGTCCACCTGGTTGCAGCCACCTCAGGAACCATCACTACCATGGCCCATACCAGCACCAGAGCCACCCCCACCACCATTTTTGGAGCCACAACCATTCTCCCTTTATCTCTCACTCTTTGAGTTTATGCAAAGCTGAGTGTTTGAAGCTTTGGCTGGTGGGTTTTTATGGGGTTATCAAGAAAGCTCAGAGAACACACAAAGGTGGTGACTTTTTCTGCTGTTGTAAACTGTAAAGTAGTCTCTAGAACAGTACAAATAGTAACATGGGTTAGTTTTAGTTTGCTTCTTTTGATTGTTTACAAATCCTACGGTTAAGATCTCCATATATCTTTAATATTTATTACCATATATTTTATGTTTGTCTTTATGTTTACCTAGTTGTCTTATTGTATTGCAATTTTCTTCCGAAGGTTTTTATTGCTACCATGATCATATTGATGCATTCACGTCGTTTTATTAAATATCATTGTCATTATTCTTAAACGTGTGTTTAGGTGGAATAAAGCTCGCTCAATCTGGTGGGGTGATATATCCCGTCAAGAGATCGCATGATAAAAAATATATATTCAAGATAAATAATATAGGAATAAAATCACACCAGTACATAAAATAGAGTTGAAATGATTCCAGTTTCTAAGACATTCTTCTTATGGTGTTTAATAACCCTTACATTAAATACCTTGTGTATTCACATCTTTCATAACCTTCAATTGGTTTTCACTCCTATATTTATAAATAGTATGTGAAATATTTTTTTCCTAATATGATATATATTTCAATTCCAATTACGACTTCTAAATTTTATTCCTATTTGTAATTATATTTTTTACCAAATAGTATTTCTAAAGACATACAATTTCACATAAGAACAAATAAGAAAACGAGTCACAATATCCCAATATATCCATGTCTCATGCCTCAGCCGTCATATTACCCTTAACTTCGGCCTTGAGATAGGTGAGACAGGTGTACGTTTGAATGCGTGAAGGGAAAACGTGCAATGTTCCTTTTTTTTTTTTTTTTTTGGTAACCAGGGGTGTCCAAACCAGTTTGTACACACTTCAACTAATCCTCGAGACCCTGAAGTTGCGATCAACCCGTCTTTGTTCCTATTTTTTTCAACAAAAAATACTTCAATCACTTTAATATCATATATATATACTCTAATACCGAAATATCTCATAGATATATACATTCACTTTATGATATCAAACTCAAGGTTCCTTTCATTTGTCGACTTGAGTATGAAGAAAAACATATTATATTATTTATATTATTAACAAATATAAATTATCACCATTTTCAACTTGCTCATTTTCTTATTCTCAGTATGCAATTCAATAATAACAAGTCACCTCATATTCTAACCTATAATCTTAGGTTTAAATAATGTTTGATTTTGTGCTAACAAAATAATTTTTTTGTTAAGCTAAAGATGACTAGCACTAGGTACATTGTTGAAGCCATTAATATTTTAACTTTAGACAAAACTTTTCAATACTTGATGTTCCCTGTCTATCGATGAGTACTCTTTTTCACTTTTTTACATCCTTAATTGCAGTTGTTTTTGAATTATTTTTTCTTCTTTTAACTGTTCTTTTCTTATGTGTTTCACTTTAACGTCCCATGCCACCTCTTCAACTTTTTACAGTTATTATTGTTCTTACTTTAACTGTAACTGGAGAATCTTCACTGTCAATATCATGGGAAAAGAATAAGAAAAAAAAAACTGGTTATCTAGGAAGGTTTTTATGAAGAAATTCACTTCACAAATTTCATTTAAATTACTAAATATTTATAACAATGAAATAAAGAACAATCCAAGTCATCAAATGCCATAAATTTATCTTATGTGTTTCTGGATTATTCTCAGTTTTTGTCTTTTCAAATGGGTATTTTATTTGGCTGGTTGTGTGACAGAGACTGTGCACAAAAATTTCACCCTCTTTTTTTTTTTTTTTTTTAATAACTGAGGTATCCGACACAATTACTAACCGAACCCCGCCTAATCCTCAAAGGCCATGGATAATTTCATTCTTACACTGCTCATAAAACTTAATTACTAGGTTAATTGTCAGAATTCTCTACTAAAACTATAAGTAAAGGAAAAAACCATTTTTACAATGAATCAATACATCATCATTAAAATTAATAACAAGAAACAATCTCATCGCTGAAAAACAATATCTAAATCGTTTATATTTCATTCATACGTACTCATAAAATTCGATATTACTCGATAGTCAGAATTTCGGTACCATATCACATAGATCAGAAACAAACAACAAATTAAGAAGCAAGAAATGAGAAAAGATTAAGAGATTACTGAGCCAATCTCCAACGAAGAATTGTGATGGCTTGACCATTCAGTGAAATTGACATTCTGAGACCAACCCATCTTGTCCTACGCGATGTGATATTACTACTCCCACAACACATTTCACCATAACCACCATTACCAAAACCTGACATTTCTGAGAATTGAGAGTCTCACTTTATATTTTTGCAAAAACCCCCCCTCCATGGATTCACTCTCACTCTCACTCTCTTGAAGTTTGATACAATTTATATGAATTATTGAAGATTTAGGTTGAATTTGCGTGAAATTAATTGTTAGTTATTGAATTGTATATATTTGTTACATATTCGTTATTAAAGTTGTTCATGAGTTGGCATATTTGACACGCGTCATGGTTTTGTAATAAACGCCTTAGTTTTGCACCTTTTAACCTTGTTTTATATTTAATTAAATTATTTTTTATTTATTTTAAACTATTTCTCGATTTCTTAAATCTGATTTATAGAAGGTATAAATTAATTTTAGTTTTTAAACTACTTTTTCCTAATCACATACTTTTAAAATATTATTTTATTACCTAAATTTATATTATGTTTCCGATTCCATATCATGTGATCTCACACCATCACTATTCTCTTTCTCAGTCATTACTCATCAAAACCCTCTCAAACCTTACTCCGTCAACCGCCAGCATCAAGCGATTAGAGTTTGTGTAACCGCCTCTCCGAAGTCAAATTCTAATCAATCCCAGCCACTAAAATCTAACCTTCCACCATACAGACTCATCAATCTCCCCCCTTCAAAAGCTCGAACAGTCTGGACGGACTTACTCTCTGTTAGCTACGAAATATAATTTAGATAATAAATTGGTATTTTAAAAGTTTGTAGATAAAAAGTGATTAAGCTATTATTGGGTGAGAAAAAAATCGTTAACTCATTTTTATAACACAAAGCATCTATTCAATTGTCTCTCATTTCATAATTTTTGTTAATTAAGAATTCCGATTGAGTCTCTCAGCTTATTTTTTCGCAGAAACCCCCCTTTTGTTTCACACTTAGTGTCTCGAATTTTCTGAATTATTGAGGGTTTAGATTGAATTTGTATGAAATTAATGGTAAGTGGATAACCATATAATTTGTTACATATTTGGTAACTAAAGTTGTTCATGGATTGGCATATTAAACACTTGTCATGGTTTTGTAATAAACTCCTCAGGTTTTGTGCCCTTTTTAATTAACTTGCTTTATGTTTAATAAATCATATTTTTTTATTCATTTCATTTGAAAATCTACTTTTTATTTTAATTAATTAAATCCCCAATTCATAAGGACGAAAATATTTTAGTTTTTTCAATCATCCTACATTAAAAGAATATTAGAGTAATTAATGTTATATAACATATTTTCATTTATAAAAAGTTATGAATAATTCTTTTGAATATTATTATATATACAAACTCACTATAAAGTGATGGAGTAATATAATTAGATAATTTAAATTGAGATAAATTAATAACACAAAATTAAATAATTTATAAAAACATTCCTTTCTCGTGATTTATTATAAATGTCCATAATATAATAAATTTTCCTTGTGTAGCTGTTTTATGCCTTTGATTTTAAATCATATATAATTATTTATATTTTTTAAATCCTACTCTTTTTTTTTTTTTTATTGTAAATCTATTTATTAAAGAAGAATAATGCCTTATAAATTTAATAACAGACTATATTATAATTAGATATAAAACAATTCAAAAAAATTAAAAATTAAAGTTATGGTTATGGAATGTTACATATTGGGCATTTTGTCATGATTCACCAAAATATATGGCCTTAAGTTTTATGTTTAATTAAAATATACTTTTTTAATAAAAAGAAAAAAAATCAATAATATATTTTGGTTACAGTATTACTTTTATATATTAATCAACTCTCAAAATCCATTTCCTCCTTAATCTGAAAGCTTAAAATTTCAGCCACCACCACTCTCTCCAACCTCAGTGGCATCGCAGCTGCACCCACCAAGTTCGCCGCCATCCTTCCTCAACCAAAACCGGCCTCGAAGAAAAAGGGCGGCATGTATAGTTATTCGATCTTAATTACATCATCATATCTTTACATATATATAATATGAATCGTTGTAATAAATAATTGGTATTTCATATCTATAAAATTAACAACAAATACATAATATATAATAGTTGCACTCTTCAATAAGAATACTTTGTTATATGGTGACTCATATAATTTACATGGTTAGTTAGTCTACGAATTGTTTATTTTTCTTATTCATTTTAATTATTCCACCATATGCAAGAATGATTTTTTCAATACAATGGTCAAATCTTTGAAGTGGTTGTGATCAAATTTAATTCCCATTAAAAAAAAAAAAAAATCCCTTAAATCGTAATAGAATTAAATTTATTTGTCTAAAGTCTTGAACACCTTAACAATTTTTGAAAATTTTAATACCGTTATCGATGCCCTTTTTTTTTTTTTTTTGAACAATATTCGACAATTACTAAACGTTCGAGACTTATCGATCTCTCGAGCTGAGCTCAAACCGTTATTCTTTAAGGCAAGTCAAGCAAATTCAGACTCTATGTAGTCAACTGAGATTGAATAAAAGAAAGAGACAAAGGCTTCGTTTGTTACGATATTAGGAATACTATTATTAGTATTTCCAATAGTTAAAAAGTAAAATGTATATTATTCTCAAATATTATTCTATATTTTAAACCTTTTTTAAACCCCCTATATTTGTTAATTTAACTAAACACCTCCAAATATTTTTTTAGAATTACAAAACACTACTGTCACCCTCCGACAGTAGTGGCCAATTCCGTATTTATTATTTAATGATTGGGAGTGTTTTGTTAACTTTTAACATTTTATTATAGGAGTGTTTAATAAACAACATAAGGGTATTTTGCTA